CACACTACTCGTAACACACGAAAATGGGTTACCCAGTGCAGATATGATGCGCAATAGTGAACCGCAGTAGTCTACCGGCAGCCAGACGGCCCGCACTTTCGTCAGGAGAGCATAGGAGAGCGTAGCAAAAGATATACTAAAGAACGAGCTTTCTTAAAATTCTCGTTTTCCCGACGGTGCTAGCTCTTGTACTTTATTTTTACTACGTATTTTGATTAATACTGGATTAAACTTGTCAAAAAAGTGTTAAAACGTCACGTTTTTCTCCCTTGACGGGCTGGAGTAAAACATTTACGGATGAAAAGTGGCGCGAAAACGCTATGACCAATAAGAGCGCCGCGCCGCATTTGCGTATACATATAATTTGATCCTATCAACGGATAACGGAAGTATGAAAATCAAGCTTTAGCTGTAAAATTAATAGGGGAGCCAATATTTGGACATTTCAAAATTTGCATGGGATTTGTTGTGTCCGATACGACGATACACCACCTGGTATATCAAGAAAATCGTTGAATTTGACGCTTTATGTCAATTTAATAATAGCTTTGTTCGGGTTCTTGTTATTACCGATTCTGAACCGCCCTTAGCCTTTAATTATCATTCGTCAATAAAAAATGTGGTTTGAAATCAAAAGTTTGTTTTATAAGCTAGATATTAGGCTTTCTCTATGGATACAACTGATTACTGCAAGCTGTTGCTAGGATATTTTATTAATTTTAGTTGTGTTTTTTAGACATTGTGAATGATTGTAAATTGGGAAGTACAAAGTGTAATTGAAACCATTAATTGCGAGGTTCTGAATGAATTTTTAAGTGTAAAACTGCTTTACTTTTATGCCTAGGCGTTAAAATAAGTTTTTTATATTATCAATCACGTCGCAAAAATTAAAACTTTTGCGAAGTTAAAAAAACCCTTTTGTTTACAGATTAGAAAGAAATAATCCTCATTATGTGAAGCACGTATTTTTTTAACCCATTTAGAATAATTCTAATAAGTTTATATTTTTCGGTACCCAATACAATTATAAGAAGAGAGAAGGGTTAGAAAAGTATCGAATAAAACTATGAATAGAAAGCAAGGTTTAAGTTATTCATAAAACTTTATAATTAGCAACTAGATTAAATTCCAAAATGATAATAAAAATAGAACGAAGAAGCAATTATAACTTCAATAATTTACAAATTAAGGCTTTTGCAAATAAAATATAGTTTCATATAGTTGGAATATTTTTTAATAACATATTTATAACCAAATATAAACGACTATCAACCATCAGGTTAAAATGTTGCGATGATAATTTTAGAGAACATCCCAAAAACGTCATACTAAAACGTTAACTATATACAGTATGTTTCCGGATTGTCTTTACAAGAGGAAAAACTTTTTTTATTATTGACAGTTTGAGAAAAGTACATTCTTCATATAAAAATTTCCTTGATAAAAAAGGTTAATTCCGTTTATACTTTTCCATATTTCTATACCCTTTTAGAGAAAATAAAAAAACATGGTTGAATTTTTTCCATATTTTTAAGTCCTAAAAATGAAAACGCGTTATTGTGGTAATATAATTTCGTTTTCGTTCTTTGATAGATTGTTAATGATAGAATTTTAATTAACGTCATATTTTCACATATTTTTGCTGTTTTAAAATGTTGAAGAAACAAAATTTATTTAGTTTAATGCTACGGAAAGGGTGATAATAGTTATAGGAAAATTTGAACTTTGACAACAAAGAAAAATGATTTTAATCAAAATTAATAATAACCATCTATCAAAGAACTAAATCGAAAAAGAAATCGAAATTATATTACCATAGAAACGCCTTTAGTTTTTTTTTTAATAAAAAAGTTTTTCCTCTTGTAAAGACAATCTGGGGACATCCTGTATATTTAGGTTTGGTTACTCATAATTTATTAGAACATGAAAAGCGTTTCCATTTTATCCCATTGTAGTTCATAGCTTCCGGGGAGTTTAATTATCTGACGTTGCAACAAAGTAAACTGTATTTAACACTTCAGTTTCTAGCTTCAAGTAACTCTGAAGATACTCATATTTAATTCAAGAATCTGCCTTCCGGCATTAATACTCTAACGCCAGCGAAAACAATGGTAATCATGAGATGCTTAGAGTTTATTTGTAAATGAAAACAAGAATACACTAGCTAGTAGAATACAGCTTTTAACAAAGGTTTACACAATACAATTTACTGATGGACTACAAAAGAAGTCTTAAATTAATACATTAAAGTTTCTTTATTTGTAGTAAAAAATGAATAAATAAAACTGTTTAAAAATAAATTAAGTTGGCAGCCAAGATGAAAACAAATGACAATGTAATATTATTGTTTTATTAAAAAATAAGTGAAAAAGAATTCGAACTACGAGCCCTAACAACTAAATGTTTGGACAAACAAAAATTTATTAGAAACCTTTATTTTAATTAACTGAATTATTTACATTTAAGAAATACATTAAAAATATATTAAAATCTAACATTTCTAATGAATATTTAAATAGTTTAGTTTCTATAAGCATTAAAATAAACTGTAGGCCAATAAATAAACAAAAAGATTGCACAAATATCGTGACAACTAAATGTTCGGACACTTTAAAAAATAACTGTTCTAATATGGCTTTACATCGGCATGAACTTTTGCAATCACTGTAAGCCTGTTTGGCATTGTTTTTATTAATGATTGACATACGCCAGAGTAAAAATTTTGCCATAATTCACTTTATAACATCGTCAAATGGGCAACGGTTTCTTGGGGATCGTGGCACAATTTTTGTTTTGTTTTATGCCACAAGTCTCGATAATACTAAGGTACGGACTGTGCGAAGGCCATGAGGGGACCTTAATGTTCATGTCCCTAAACCATTTTTTAGTAGTTTTAACCGTATGGCATGTGCTCCGCCATCCTGTTGAAATATAAAATTATTGTCCTGGTCTTTACCAGAACAATTGGTTACAAGGACCTTTGTCTTTCCCACTTGACACAAGAATATTTTTCAAAATTCTTTGATTTTTTGACGCATCAATTATGCCTTCTGCCAGCTCATACTTTTCTGGGCCTATTTTGGACATACACCTTAAAATCATAATGCCTTTAGGAAATTTCACTGTCCTTTTGAGGCAATCTTTATCAAATAGACACTCTAGCGATGTTCGATTATATTTATTATATCGATATTAAAATGGCTCATGTGCACATATAATCCGTGCACTTGCCATTTGCGATTGGAATTATTTATTAGCGTCGGATTGGGAAATATTTAAATATTTTACCTTAATGTCATTTTTGTAGTTTGTGACATCAGAAGTTCCAATCCGACGCTGATAATTCTAATCGCAAACTGCAAGTTCAAGGATTACATCTGCACGCATGCATGATCTTTGTGAAAGATGGACAGTGGAATTTCCTAAAGACATTGTGCTTTTAGAGTTTATGTCCGCAATGAGTCTAGGAAGATATGAGGTGGTAGAAAGACACAACTAATGTGTCAAAATATCAAGAAATTTTGAAAAACAGTTTTGTGCGAAGTGCGAAAGACCTTTACCAGGATATGAATTTTATATTTCAACAGGATGGCGGGGCATGCCATACGGCTAAAACTGCTAAAAAATGGTTTAGGGACATGAACATCAAGGTCCCCTCATTGCCTTCTCATAGTCCGGACCTTAATGTTATCGAGACATGTGATATAAAACAAAACAAAAATTGTGCCACGATCCCCAAGAAACCGTTGCCCATTTGACGATGATATTCAGTGAATTATGGCAAAATTTTTACTCTGGCATATGTCAATCATTAATAAAAACAATGCCAAACAGGCTTGCAGTGGTTGCAAAAGTTCATGTCGATGTAACGCCATATTAGAACAGTATTTTACAGTTTATTTTAATGTTTATAAAAACTATACTATTTTAATGCTCATTAAAAATGTTAGATTTTAATATATTTTTAATGTATTTCTTAAATGTAAATAATTCAGTTAATGAAAATAAAGGTTTTTAATAAATTTTTGTTTGTCCGAACATTTAGTTGTAGGCGTCTTGTTGTGTTGTGACAATTTCAAATGTTAATAAAACTGCCAAAAAAAATGTTAACGCGTAAAGGAGAGCGTAATTAGGTCGTTGTTGGGTGCAATAACATTCAATAACTCAACTTTCCCGGATATTCAACTCTCCCGAAACAACATTTTATAGCTTCTTAATTTCTTACACCGATTTGATCAATTGCAAAAATGGATTCAAGCAGTTCGACGAAACAAGTGAGTAAACAAAGTGCTCGTTACATAATCAAAAAATTAAATAGACATATACTATGAGAGGATGAAATATAATTTGCAATATTAATGGTATACTTTTTTAATCAACTAGTGATTAAATGTTTTATGAACATCTTCTAAAATTATTATTATGTGCCTAAAAAATTTCGTGATAAAACTATGTTCGCTACCGTAGTTGAACTCATCTTTTTTTTTTTAACTGGAATAATAAATTATAATGCAAGTTAGACCTTCTGAAGATATCAAAATATTTACCTTTTTATTTTTTTGTTAAGAATTTCCACAAATTATACTTTCTAACACTTTTAGAATAATTATATACTAATTTTTTCGTTTACTCACCATTTAAACCCGTGTATTTGTATGTATTCGTTAATTACGATATTCTCCGGCAGTGGCAGCACCGGCGGAGAATGCCCCAAGCCTGTTATTGTGTTAAGCTAGCGAAGTCGACTGACTGTATAATGAATGGGCTGTGACGTAACCTCAGTAGGGCTTAGAATAGACTTGTTGAAAATTATTATATTTTTTTTAATGAAAAAGCTAGCCTTATATCGAGCCTTATATCCTTATATTAATGATATTAATAAAATTACACATTTTAAAGGTTCTGTGAAAATAGTTAAATTAAAACTATTCGGTTTATGTTTTCAGTGTATTCGCCAGAAAAAAAAATGCTTTCCCAAACTAATTATTATTATACTTCAGATTTGCTTTCATCAAATTCAAATCCCGAGGAAGGCAGCAGTAACGACAGTGAAGATGAAGATTGCGAAGAAAATACTTCGAGTTCAGAATCAGCCAGTAGTTCTAGCGATGATAGCAGCGAACCACAAGATGTAAGTTCAAACTTATTAATACAGTTAGATATACTGACGATATAGAATTGATGAGAACTGATGATATAGAAAACTCTCGGTTATATTAGATGCCCATTAATAACATATTTTTACACCTCACACTCTATAAATATATAACAATCGGCATTTCTAATTTTTACACACTTTATTATTTATCACTGTACAAATTGAGTGAGATCTTTTTCTAATATATATTCTTAACAGAATACTCTGTATTTCTGTACTGAATGGTTACAAGCTTTCAAAAATATCATATGTATTGTACTTTTCCTATTTACGAAAAATACCTAATAATATATCCAAGAATAATTTTTAAAGATAAAATCTTTTAATTAAAATCCGCCAGTGTCGGACTGGCCATATAGCCTTCGCCCCTATAGCCCAGCCTTTGCGGGGCCCCTGCCTTAAGACCTACATGTAAAATTGTTCATTATTTAATCTTAAATATATGGAAAAAAATTAAATTGCTGCATTTTGCGTCTAAAATAGTATTAGGCATTACGTCGTAGCTTTTATTTCTTTCTCAAGATATGCAAAATAGTTAAATATGCTTGATTTTATAGGAAAATAGCGAACGAGTGTGGTGGTAATTTTCACAATTTGTGTCAGAGAATATTCAGATTGTACTTGTTGAAACTTAAATGAAAATCATTATTACAAATTGTAGCACTACTAATAGTATTAGTAGTAGTTACTATAATATATTTTTTGACACACTTTGGCTGTTACTAGGCTCTATTGTAAACTTGTTGTTGAGAAGAATAATAAACTAGCTAATACAATTGTGACTTTTTTTTGGATTAACAGTATTTGCATACATTTTCATTGCATTGCATACATTTTCATTTTCATTTCAAACACTAACAAGAAATCAAGTACCAAAACGTAAAGCACAGAAATACGCAAAAAATACACACGGGCCCCTCTGATCCTGAAATCCGGTTTAAAAACTAATGTCCATTATTTTGACCACAAACTGGGACAGTCGATTAAAACTTACTAGCAAAGTCACGGAGGAACTTAACTTTCAGAAATGAAAAGTGATAATGCTTTCTGAGAAACGCTCGAGAATGATGCTAACACTTACATATTACTGGGATAGAGCTTCTGACAAAATTATACAGGGTGGTCCGAACTGTTCAGTCTAATAACTATTTAGTCGACATGTTTAATTTATGTCAATTATGATAGGTATTGATAATTTCGATTCCAAATATATCGAGAACCATTACTCGTAGCGATTTTTACCAAGAGACATTTTTTACATAAAAAACTTTGTAAATGTATATTTTTTTACTCAGTAGTTTTATACAGGTACGAACGAAAAGTTATTACTCTTCAAACCAGTTACAAAATAGGTAGGTGGCGCCCTCTACAAGTAGGAGTCATATTGACATCAAAATCAAATTTCTCATATCAAAAAATTCCCACGTACCAATTTTCATCCATATATTGACGTTGCTTCATAAATTATTTGGAAAAAATCGAAAAAAATATGAAACTTCTACACCCTGTATTTCCGAAACTAAGCATTTTAGGACATACATTTATACGATCTCTTTTATTTATTTTTATCTGCAGAATATGCTGCCGAACTTTCCGGAATACAATTCGGACCACCCTGTATATTGGGTATAATTTTTAGAATCCGTTTTTCCCTTGAATATTATTTGTAATAATTGTATATAGGAGAACCTTTCACAATAAAAACGAAAAAAAAATTAATAGGGGTGAGCCACTTTTGAGACGCACTCGGTATTATATTAGAAAAATAATTAAATGGTTTAAAAAACCTTAGTCAACTCTCGATTATTTTACATATTTAATTATAGTCTGTATATTACTTAATAAATTTTTTTCTTTTATAACCATAAATGTCCTACTAAAATTGGTACACGTAGTTCAGGGTGTCATAAATGGTATAACACCGACACAAAAAACTTTAATTAGCGGGCCTATTTCAATTTATAATCCGTAATAGAGACGTTTTATAATCGCTAACTCATGGCTATTACCGCAAAAATATCTTTACAGCCTAATGATTACATTAATAAATCATGTAGTCATTAAACTTAACCGTTCTCCTTTTGAAGACCCTTTTACAAAAAAAGTGGTTTAATAAAAACGGCATGACAAAAAGAATATTTAAGTAACAGTACACAGAATACCCTAAATTATATACCACATAATATACGGGGTCGCAGATATGTATGGATGGGAACAGTCGATTATTAGCTAAAATATAAGAGGTACCGCAAAAAGTTAAATATAAAAGTTATAGGGTTTTTAAAAATCTATTAGCTGGTAATACATTTAAGTATACAGGGTCGGTCATAAAGTCGTGGGACATCGAAGTTTCATTTTTTTAACGATGTACTTAAACAGCCGTTAAACGGTAGCCTACTAAAATGTCGTTAATAGATATTGTGACGTCGTTCATGTCGGCGGAAAGTAATCCCTGGCTATAAGCATTTTGCAAGAGCACCTGTGGCTCCGTGGCTGAGGCTATCGCTTCGTGAGCGAATGGTCCGTGGTTCAAATCTCACGCCGACCAAGATTTTTTATATATTTTTTGCTTATAGCGTGATCTTATTGCATTGGTTTCACTCTTTTTGGTTGGATTGGTTTAGTTATTTGGCAGGTAGGTTAGCGTGGTTATTCGGAGGGTGTTAATTCATTGGTTACTTGGTTATTTGATGGGGTTGGTTGGTTTTTACTAATTTATATTTGTTTTTTATATTTTTTTATCAGTGTCGAGGTTAGTTGCGTTGGTTAAGTTGGTTATTTGGTGGGGTGGATAGCGTTGGTTAGTCCCAATGACTAAAAAATATAAGGACATGTAACGCCCCTATGGTCATGTGGCGAGAACATCTAAAGACAGGTGTACTAGAAGATTGTTAGAATGGCGACCTCGAGCAGATAAACGTAGCAGAGGCAGACCACCGACACGCTGGACCGATGATGTAAAGAGGATTGCTGGAAATTGGATGATGACGGCCCAAAATCGAGAGACATGGAGAAATATGGAGGAGGCCTACGTTCAGCAGTGGACAACGATGGCTACATGACGATGATGATGATGAACGCCCCTATACGGGCTGCAGCAGAATTTGTGACCTTAGACGCCTTTTCTTTTGGTGGTAAACAATAAGTCATCATTTGGTCACCAGCGACAATTTTAGCGATTTTTAATAGTTTGTGTGTAGTAAACTTTGTATAAACTTTATTACAATGGTTTTTCAGCTTTCAAGTGTAAAAGCAGCAGCGATAAGAATGAGCCAGGAGTTACGTTTCAAAAGTAAATAAACAGTCCACTCCAACTTTTTAGCGTTTTCTTATTGAATTCGATAATTAGTCTTCAATTTCGATTAACATCTATATGTACTTGATATGTGCTATACGTCGATACTAGTTTTGTACCTTTTGTTAACATTTTAATACATTTTTTCGTAATTAATTAGGATGATACACCATAGGTGTAGTCAAAACAATTATCAAAAAATATAAATATTGCTTCAAACAGCTAGGTTAAGAAAAATATGTGCCACGGCACTGTTTAGTGACATCGGCACAATTTGCTCTCGGGTGTTATTTGTCCTTGGATTCTTTAGTCATTGGTTACTCCTTATTAAATTCCTATATTTCATAAAGCCCTCAAGTGCGTCACATCAACGACGTCATACCTATTAACGGCATTTTAGTAAACTACCGTTTAACGGCAGTTTAAGTACAGCCTTTTTTAAATGGAACCCGATAAACCACAATAAATACACACAATGTACCTCAAACCAACCGTTTCCGAGTTATTGACTTAAAAATATCTCTTAAACAATTCGATTTAATTAAGTTTGATCTGTTTTTGGTTTCATTTAACGATGCCATTCTGCGGAAACTGTGATACTTAATAACATTTGACATTAGTTTAGCATTCGTAAATTGTTAAATTTAAGTAGATTATAATCGTAATACAACATAATGTACCTAAATTCAACAATTTCCGAATTATGAAGTTTTGATTTTGAAATGTTAAACGAAAATTTTGTAATTTCCAGACTTGATATAATCTCATTTTATGCATCTTTAATGCTAACTTGAAAACTAATGTCAAATATTATTAAGTTATCACAGTTTCCGCAGAATAGCATCGTTAAATAAAAAAAAAACATGGCCTATCTGGTATTAATACTTGTCATTTGTCTGAGTTCATTATTAACTAAAGACGTGAAATTTCAGCATAATATTGAAAACATATTTTTATATTTTAGGAAGCAGAAGAGGAAGGAATAGAACAGGGTGTTGGAGATAAGCAATCAAAAGGTTCATCAGAGGGCGACGCAACTACCGGAAGTTACTCGAGCTTAGAGGATGACGAGGCCGAAACCAATCAGTTGAGGGCTTTAGCTGCCAAATATCAAAATGACAACGTTAATCTGGGAAATGGAAATAAAATTTGTAAGTCTTGTTTTCATTTAGTATCGATTTTGTTTAGCAAAAACATCTATAGTTCATATCAAATAAACTTTTAGTCACGTGAATAAGCTTGATCGGCACAACGTTGCCCACTTTTACATATTTTCTTTTAATCAAAATATTTTAGGAAGCAAAAATAAATTAATTATAAATATACAGGGTGTTTCAAAAAATATGTGCCATTTCTTCTGGGGAGATTCCTCTCTAAAAAATAAGATTTATTTTTCATATCAACATAGGTCCGATTCTGCTTTGTTTCGTAGCTGCAGGGTGTAAAAATCTTTAGATTTATTTTAATTTTCTTCCAAGTGCTTTTAGTGCTTCCAATGAAATTTTGAGGGTAAAAGTTACTTTAAGTGCTACATATTTTAATGCTGAAAAAGTGTCGATAAATTCGTCAGGGGCGTGCATAGGCATTATTACTGGAATATTTTTCAGAAAAAAACATATGCGTCACAGCCTTTTTTCTTTTGATATCAAAATCGTGTAGGCCGTTTAATGCCAATTAAAAGTTATCTCTCTATATTTTGTCGAATTCGACCTCCTTGATGAGATAAACGTAATTGTATTAATCACAATTAATAAAATTAAATTAATAAATTATATATTTTGCCTAATTTATTATTAAATATTATTACTATTAGTTATTATCACTATTAGTCCAACCTACAGCAATTTCAAATAAAAAAATAATGTTATTTAAGGCAATTACAAAAAAAACTCATTTTACAAAGTTTTTATATCCTCTGTAACTCTAAAAATATGCATTTCCATACCCATGTTTATAAGAAGTTATTTTTTGATGAGGAATCAATGAGTACTTATTTAAAACTTTCAGAAGTTAATGATATTATTTTTTTTTAAAGGTTGCTATTAAATTACAGCAATCAATAACATATTTAGCCATCCAAGTATGGAATTCTCCACAATATGGCAACCATTCTTAAAACGTACCATTGCGGGTATTCTCAGTGGACAATTCTTTAGCTCTAGTATACAAGGTGCTACAAATTTGAGGTACAAGCATTGGTATCTCGGTAACCGTAATAGATACGAAGATGGTTAAATTGGGGCAAAGTTGCGCCTTGGGATGTTCACCAAAATGCCATCAAAAAAGTTTTAAAAATTTCAAGGATTGCTGATTTTTATTTGGAAAAAACGGATTTTTTTTAAAATCAATTTTATTTTTTCCTGTCGTTAGTTTTTAGAAAATGGAAAAAACTAATTGCACATTCTCATAGCCACTTTAATAGGGCTATCTGATAGTATTTTTAGATTTTCAGCTTAGCTGATAATTTGAGAGATACAGAGGCCGACTTAATTTTTTTAAATACGGACCTGCATATTTTATTTCAGATTTTGAAAGAACTCGGTCTCCTGAGTACAATGATATGCCACACATATACTTTTTTTTGTTTCGGACATTTGAACACAAAATTTATTTACACTAATTCCAAGTCCGGCTCTATTTTATAAATATTTAAATTATTCATCGTTACAACATTGATAAGCCTTCAAACTTAACTATGACGTGGGGTAAAACATTGAATACGAAAAATCAAATTCAATAAAAAAAATAATTGCATTACTTGACGTCATTTGTAAAAGTGAAAACAATATTTTTCAACATTTACAATAAAGAGTACAAAATGCATTCGGAAGTATAAGAAGAAGATATGTTCAAAGAGCTATAAATAAAATTGAAAGAATAATAAATTTGTACAATAGGCAAGGTAGTAACCCTTTCGAACATGTAGAGCATTAGAAACTATTTTGTAGAAGGTGATTTATTTATAATAATTACGATTAATATCATGCATATTGTTAGATCGTACACTGAGAATTTCAAATTCACTATAAAAAAAAGTTAAAAATAATAACTTTAAATTGCTGAGCTGGATATTATTTATTTAAATCTTTCAATTAGCTCGATTTTCCTTATTCAGTGTTAGCGCTGATCAATATTGTTGCAATGAATATAATCAGATTAAATATTTAAGAAACCAGGGTCGGACTTGAAAATATTTTTAATAATAATTAAATAGTTTTGTTGTTGTTAAGGTACCCAAAACAAAAAAGTATAAAGTGTGGCATATCATTTTACTCAAGAGACCGAGTTGAAACTGAAATAAAAAATGCAGGTCCGTATTTAAAAAAATTATGTCGGCCTATGTATCTCACAAATTATCAGCTAATTTGAAAATCTAAAAATACTGTCAGATAGCCCTAATAAAGTGGCTATGAGAATATGCAATTAGTTTTTTGATTTTCTAAAAAGTAACAACAGGAAAAAATAAAATTGTTTTTCAAAGAAATTCGTTTTTTCCAAAAAACTCAGTAATCGTTGAAATTTTAAAAACTTTTTTGATAGCAACTTGGTGAACATCCCAAGGCGCAACTTTGTCCCAATTTAACCATCTTCGTATCTATTACGGTTTCCGAGCACCCAGTATACGCTCAGTAATTTTAGGATTTTGATTAGTTCACACTTGATAACGGTCAGTGATACTTCTGCCCGAAACGTTGTGTCCGATATTCTCTTAGTATTAGTACTGAACCATTGTCTTCCATATTCAAAAATTCCTCTTTCGATTTCTGTATATTTTAAATTCTGAGTAAAATCAAATTAATTTAACCAATAACTGAAATTCATCTTAACTATAACATCTATAAAAAATAACAATAACTTAAATACGTGACATTTATAAATATTACGACAAAGTTTATAAACTTCATTAATGTTAACGAACAGTTAAAATAAACACCCACTCTAACGGCAGCTAGGAAAGTACGGAAAGTAAGGAAAATTTCGCAAAGCTGCAATTTTGATTGGATGAGTTACCAGTCAATTTACCCTGAAGCTCGTAAAGTTTCGACGGTCTTGCCATATTCCCCGGATTAATGGTTGTGCCTTGCAACATTGTCAAAACTTTTGTAACTAACACATTAGATATATCACAACTAAAACGTTTATAATTTTATTTTACTAGAGTAAAGTCTTAAAGCTGATTCGTTATAAAACTTTAAGAAAAATTGATTACGTCAAGTCAAAATTAAGTATAGAAAATGAATGTATCTACACTTAAAATTGATCTTAAAAGTAACATTCAAATTAAAGTCTAATTAAATTTTATCATACTTTTACTGGCCATGCTGATACTGGAAAAGTCTTTATGGTTTATTAATATTCCCTTCTAACTACAACGGTACTGTGTTTTATTTATGTGTCTTTAATAACATTAATTAAAACTGAAACTAACCATGAAACTACTTTACGTAAACTTCTTGAGGATTAAACAGGAAAGTTTCCTTACTAGACCTTACATAACTACAATATAATGTAAGTGGTTGAGAATATTGCCATTAAAATAAAATCTTTAAAAAAATATTGTCTTTAAAATATTGTCTTATAAAAAATGTGTCAAAAAGTGTCTACATAGTCGGACTATAGTCGCAGTTTAGCAAGATTATACGATTATCAATAAGGTAATACAGATATTTCAAGTGCTGTGTATTGTCCTTATGTAAAACAGTTCAAATGTTCAATGTTCTGGTTTGTTAAAATATGTCTCGTTTTTGTTACATAATTTGTTAGTACCTGAATTACATTTCTTTACAAGATAAAATAAATAAAATGGTGTGTAATCTTCGATATGATTACATAAATACATTGTGGTGAAATTTTGTTGAAAAAAAGTCTTTAAAGCAGTTCAAATTTTCAGTGTTTTGGTTTGATAAAATATGTCTCGTTTTTGTTACATAATTTGTTAGTACATGAACTACATTTCTTTACAAGATTAAATAAAATTGTATATACTCTTTGGTTTGATTACATAAATACATTGTGGTCAAATATTGTTGAAAAAAACTCTTTAACGCCTTCAGTGGACAGAAATAGTTTACATTAAAAAAGTTTTAAGTCAACGCTAGACAATAAAATAGTTGAAGAATTAAATCAATTTATTTGTTAAGTACATTCTTGGATTGAACGTTTATGGTAGAGCTTTCCACTATTTGGCATTGATTCCTCGTAATTAAATATTACCACTGAATAATAAGGTAGCATAGAATGCGATGTTGAATGTAGAATAAGTGAGAAGGGGGATAATTACCGCGACCTTAAAGATCTATTGTGTCCCCCTTTCTTATGGTTTATTAATATTTTACCGTTACTCACCAGACTGTTTGGTGAGTAACAGTAATATGTCGATATAACAAACAGACATCACAACCAGTTGCTACTATGTAGTATAATAGATATTTTTTTTTTTATTTTCTGTAAAATGCTATACAGGGTGTCTCATAAATAAGTGCAAGTATTTTAGCTGGTAGTATAGTTCAACCCTAATAACACGCCTATGAGATTTTTTTCGCGAAAAAAAAATTTTGAAAATTCGAAATTTTTTTAAAAATGTTTTGAAATTTTTTTTAGTTTTAGTTAAAAAACATAATTTCTTGATAATATGGCAACATAGGTATTAGATTAAATTTACAAGAAAGAAAATCCAGAAAAAATCCGGTAGTTCTCAAAATTTTAGCAAAAAATCATTTTTTTTTAATTTCAAAGTAAAATAACTCCGTTATTTTGGAATTATTTGAAAAACGATAAAGAGAAAATATGTTTCTTTTATCGAAATCTACCACCCCTTAAAATACTTGCATTTATTTCTGGGACACCCTGTATTTATGTATGTATACTATATTTCTAATTTATTGTGTGTGGAAAAAAGATAGGTAGCGCTTTATACAGGGTGATTCACGGCCATGGTAGGTTAGACGTTTTTACATAATGCACCTGCTCCATATCTCTAAATTATTATTAGCTTTACAGTGTTACCACTTCATACTAAAAGTTGGAATATCTTTCGTTAATACATACCTCAAATTTCAACTTTAAAAATGTTTAATTCGTGATTTTACCAATGCTTATTCAAGATCATATGTTTATGTCAAATTTAACACGTGTTTTAATTTTTAGCTGGATAACTGTAAGTGATAGATATAGGTTAGTAAAATAGAAAAATTATGAGATATGAAAGTAGTTTCAAAAAATCTAATGATATACTGGGTGTTCCATTTAAAATAACGAAGTTGCTACTACTTTTTAAATGGTCCGTCAACATTGTAAAGCTGATAATATTTTAGATAGATGAAGCAAGTGCTTTTTTGTAAAAATCCAAATTTTCACTAGTAATACCACTAGAGGTCAAATTATTTCCGGAAATTTTTTCGAGTTAAGATAATTTTCTAAAAATATTGATGAGCGAGAAAAAAATTCCGGATTTAATTTGACCTCGTGTGGTATTCGGTAAGAAAATCCCACACCATATTGTGTGTGACAATCAAATAATTAAAATGTATTTTTTGATTTTTTGTCGACTTCATTATATAGTTACTATGGCAACTAAGTGACACCCAAACCTAAAAACCAGCTAAAAACCATAGACAAACAAATAAAAAGAGACTGACAAATCCCATGGTAAAGAGTGGGACCGCGTTCCCGTAGCGCAACTCAGAATAACAATTTTGAAACCAATTAGCCGGACCATGGCAGGACGTACGTCTTTATTGCTATCTTTCTTTATTATGTGCGCTTTATATGAAAAAAAAAAGAGATAGGTATAAAACGTATCGTAAGACATTATCGCACATTCTGGCTGGCGGAAAATTTAAATTAGCCATTATTAGTAGTATTCTTTCATTCTGAAATTGAAAATTTTCACTTAAACTGATTTATTCCCTATACCACGTAAAGGGAACGTGGTGTAGGGAATAAATCAGTTTAAGTGAAAATTTGCAGTTTCTTTCAGAACGAAAGAATACTAAAAACTGTTTTATAAACATATTTATTTATATATAAAAATAAATAAACTTTTTATAATATAATAACAAAAAATAACCGTGTTTATTCCACCCACCTACCAATTTTAACTGCGGAAGAACTGACTGTTGCAGGAAACGATCGGCCAATTTTTTTAAAGGGCATTAAAAATCTCATTTTCGAAAAAACTGAAAAGAAAAAGAAAGAAAAAAAAAAGAAGAAAGGAGATGTCGAAAGAATATAGAAAACATCTCAGCTTTGTAATTGAAATGTATCAAAATTATCATGTAAACAAATAAAAACCAGACTCTCAAAAAGATATTCTGTCGTTATAAACGTCAAAAAATGTCCAGTATAATTCGCTGTTGGGTGCCCACAAGGAGAAAATTTTCACTAAAATTTATCCGTTGCCATGGTGATTTGTCAAAAAACACGTTTTGATTGGTTAAAAATTACAGGTGTTACCATCGCATTGCCGTGAATCACCCTATACAGGGTGCTACAAATTCGAGGTACGAGCATTGGTATCTCGGTAACCGTAATAGATACGAAGATAGTTAAATTGGGACAAAGTTGCGTATTGGGATGTTCACCAAGATGCCATCAAAATTTTTTAAAGATATCAAGGATTGCTGAGTTTTTTTGAAAAAACTGATTTTTTGAAAATCAATTTTATTTTTTTTTATCGTTACTTTTTAGAAAATCAAAAAACTAACTGCACATTCTCATAGCCACTTTATTAGGGCTATTTCATAGTATTTTTAGATTTTCAAATTAGCTGATCATTTGTGAGATACAGAGGCCAACTTAATTTTTTTATTTCATGTTTTGAAAGAACTCGGTCAGGAAAAGTAACGACAGGAAAAAACAATATTGATTTTCAAAAAAATCAGTTTTTTCCAAAAAACTAAGCAATTCTTGAAATCTTTAAAACGTTTTTGATGGCTCTTGGTGAACATCCCAAAGCGCAACTTTACCCCAATTTAACCATGTTCGTATCTATTACGGTTACCGAGATACCAATGCTCGTACCTCGAATTTGTAGCACCCTGTATATTTAATTTCACAACACCTGGAGTTGACGAAAAGTCTGTCCAACAAGAGCATATCTGAGAGTGACAATTGGTCAGTCATTTTAATTCAAAGGTATATTGTATTTTCTGTCATTTTTTGATTGTCTTCTGTTGAACTTTTCCCCCCTTTGAACTTTTCTACTTAATATTGCTGAAAATTATTTTTCAGGTACAACTCACCTTAATTCGGCGTTCCTCCACCAAAAAAGCGCAGCCATCAACAAAACTCTTCCGGACAACCAACAAGCCCATAGTCTCCAGCCTCAGCAATCCTATTTTATGACAAGTTCGGATTCGGAATCGCCCACCGAACCCTGTCAAACCGTGGCCATGTTGAGGGCTCGCGTGGTGCCAAACAACGTTTAAAATGGGTACGGAATGGTTGAGAAAAAAATATATTGTGTGTTTAAGAAGAGGAGAGATTTATTTTCGTAATAAATAAAATGCGCTCATCAGTTTTCGATTCAATAGTTTATGTGGATTATTAGAGGGGTTTAGTAATGTTAACAGGAATGGAAATTGTCTGTACTGCTTTATAATGGTAGAACATTCAAATAGGTGTCTGATTAAAAAAACTTTAGTACCGTATGATCGAAAAAAATGGCGTCAGCGATGGTTATGAAATGAAGATCGCTGTCATTTTATATGTAAAATTATATGGCCAATGTCATCGATGTTCATTTCCAAGCCAACTGGACGCCGTTTTTTTCGATCATACGATAAAACCGGCACCCTGGTAGGTGTAGGTATAACATGTCAGTATGTGATTTACTAAGTTTCTGATAGTTACAGTAACAGCTAATCGAGTCATACTTGAAATTTAAGTACTAAATTAAACAATATTATTGAAACATCTTATTAAATGATAAAACTACAAAATAAGAAATATCAGTATGTTATAAACTATTTTATAACATATCGGCAAGCAAAGTCTTGGGTCGGTATTTACATGTCTAGGAGAAATCGCTATGGCAACTTGTATTTCGGAGAAAGAAAAATGCGAAGTGTTAACCTAACACTTCGCAGGTGTATGCCTAACCACTTAATTAGCTACTAAACAGCATATCATCAGTGAAACATGTTAACCTGCTAACTCCATTGACACACCGTTTATTACACTCAGATGCAAAAAAAACGCAACGGAAATTTTTTTTCGTCCAGTGGTATATTTTTTACTTATAAGCCTATTTTCATGTCTTTTTAGAAAACTGTATATATAAATATATCAACTTTAATTCATAAACTTAGTTGTTTATAAACTTTAGTATTTGGCTTATTATACAAGGGTTGGCTTTTTACCCTATCTTCAAAACACCCTGTGCAATAATTTCGAGTAACTTATCCTAAAACATTTTTTTTCGATCAGAACCATGTCTCCTGAGCATTTTGTTTTTTTACTCATGTCAACACATGCCATGGTTAATTTTTAAAAATGAAATGAACTTGCCACCAACAATTTGCAATTTTTACAACTATCATTACTTTATGATATTATTTTTTAATATCACAGGTGGCTTTGGTGACTAATGTCGTAATGTCATATCGATACTGATTAGAAATCTATATTTATTAATAAAAAAAACTCTATATTTATTAATAAAATTTAAAAAACGTTAAAAAGTGATGATACAGGCTTGGTTTTAATAAAATTAGTAACACTAACAGGACTAAGGATATTTAAAAAATAACTGTAGTAACTAAGTGTACAAACAAACAAAAACTTGTAAAAAATACCCTATTGCCTCCCCCAGCTGCTATAACTCTCTGTAGACGTCGGTTCATACTGTTAATGCAGCTGCAAATATATTGTGTTATGTTTTCCCATTCTTCTTCAAGAATCAAATGAATATTCATAATTTCGGTCATCTTCAACAAGATTAATGACTTATACAGAATCTTCGACACTAAGAACCAAATTCAATCGTTTACAACAATAATTACCAAAGCCACCTCGCCATTATGAAGAATAACATCAAAAAGTAACGATAAATGAAAAAATTGCAAAATGTTTGTGGTAAGTTCATTTTCTTCTTAAAAATTAACCAAAGCACGTGCTGACATGAGTCTCAGGAGACATGGTTTTGACTGAAAAATAATTTTTTAGGAAAATTTGCTCCCGAAATTATTGCACAAAGTGTTTTAAAGATAGGGCAAAAAACAACTCTTCGATTAACCCTAGAGAGAATAGATATTCATTTATTTGTTCCGATTAACAAAAGTTACAAGAGCCCGCAGGCATGGAACATTGTGAAAATAGCAAAAAAACAAAACTTAAGACCTAATATAAAACACACATAAATACACTTAAATAAGGAAAACACTAGAATAACACTCGACAACAAAAAAAAGTTACAGATTTTGCAACATGCGCAACCATCATAGGCGTATTGAAAATACCAACGACACAAGTCGGCGGTTGTCGACAATCGCTTGCTTTTTACATTTTATATTAACTTGTGGCGTCATTTGGAAGAGCTCAATAGAAATATAAAAGAACTAAACCTTGTTCGTTGGAAAGCAATTTGACATTCGTGACGTCAGCACTCCGGCATTCTAACGTATCATTGATCACTATTCACAGATATATTCCAGATACGTATAGTGAACAAGTTTAACGTTCGCAACGTTAAATTTTTGATATTTGATTTTTATCGTGATGGTTTTTTGTAAAAGTGAAGAATTAGTGCGGATTCGTTATTGGTCACGATCACGGTCACGACACTATGACGGGCTCCTATATCCACGTAGGAGCCCAAAATATGCAAAAAGGGGGTTTAAAAATCAGTTTAGCTTAAGTTTAGATTAGGTCTATATTTTTTATTAATGTAAAACCAACTAAAACCTAATTCTAATCTAACCTAAACTCACTTCTTCTTTTGCATATTTCGGGCTATTACCTGGGTATTCCTAGGTTTAACCAATATTCGAACTTAGGTGTAAATTTAAATTTATGGATGGCCCATAAATTTATATTCGCCGTACAAAAAAAAAATACTTTTCACCAATTTTCACAATAAAAATTAAAAGTTATAAATCATAATATTTTTTTATAGAAATGAGGGAATAAGGGTGAACGGGGTGCCGCGCCGGTAGACCAAGAAGATACTTGGAATGTAAATGTTAATTTATACTCGAATGGAGTTACCTCACAGTATAGGCATATTTTGAACCCCTACCGTGCATAGTTACTGTAGAAAAATAAATTAAAATATAGTTGGCTCCAACGATAATTTAGTTTGCAGCTTCTTTTCATCATACCTAATAAAAAACCGTCACAACCACTACTCATAGTATGTACCTTTGTATTTTTAAACATCATTATGAAATTAAAAATACATAGGTGCCCATAATATGAGTAGCGGTATTTTTTTCGTTTCATCATAACGGATTTTGTTGTGCTGAAAATAAGCAGCAAAATATATTATCTATTGCAACAACTATACCTAATTTACATTCAGTATGTCCAATTAATATAGAACATTATAACTATGCATACTTTTAAAAATTTGCTACCAATATATTTTGACAGTTGAGTTTTTGAAATTATTTGTTAGCTTCTTAAACAAAACAGACCCATAATAATTCAAATCTTTATCATTCAAGACTTCCAAGAATTATGAAGTAATCTCACGTCAAAATTTTTTAAAATTATTGCATGCCTTAAGTATTTGCAAAGTTAACAAAAATATTTCTTTCATACCTTGCAATTAATATATTTAATCCAATTTATCAGTTCTGCATCATATCCGAAATTTAGATTGTGTGTGACACAACGAAGAGTTAAAGTGCAACGTGAACGACCAGAAAAATATCAAGTAAAAAGATTGTTAAGTTTTAATTACTAGTTACGCAGTCCTTCCCCCCATATTGGCTTCCCTCTTGCCTAAAATCTATATTGTCTTTCCTAACATTTTAAATATAAATGATTGAAACTCATACAAGTTTACCATAATTTAAACTTAAGATAGTCCCTAATTATATTAAAATATAACACTTACTAAGTTAATAAATATTAACTATTTCTACTTATTTTTAATCATTTAATAATTCTGATAAAAACACGCTTGATTTTTTTATTTTAGAAATCATACTGGCTATAATAATTAATATGACTATGTTAACAATACTTAAATAAAAATTTATTTGAAGGAATGCTACTGTATTACAATAATTGTAAAACACGTATGTAATAACAAAGTAATAATAACTCGGAATAATATAATAATTATTTAAAACTGCTCATCGTGTTATCGATGTCGGCGTCTTGTCACTTTTATTTAGTCCTGTCACTATTATTTTATTAGCCGTTTAGGTATAGTTTGATTTCAGATAATGTAGATTTTAATGTGCCATTTGTGTTTTTTTTTTGGATTTTTTTGCATATTTGGTATATTCTATGAAGTGATTTTAAGTGCTCCTGACCATTTTTCAATTATTAAAGTGCCTATTTAGATACATTTAAAATGAATTAATTAGTGTATAGTATTTGTATTATGAGTTTGTTTATTTTTTATGAAATGTATTTTTTCCCATTAAAATAAACATAGCTTACTAGATCACTAGCTAGCCATTTTTAAATACAGGGTGTTAATTAAGTATCTGGCCAAACTTCAGGAGGTGATTCTTTGAGTGTTTTAAGGTAAAAAGTTCATATAAACATGTGTCCGGAAATGTATAATTTTAAAGATACAGGGTGTCAAGGTGTTTTCTAATAGACCTTTTTTATTAATATCCCAAAGATCCGTTGACCGATTTTGTTGAAATTTCGCCACGTTGTGAACTTTAATAAGTTAGCCACTAATTAAATGCTAATTATTATTTACAACAATATTCAAAGGATAAAATCTTATCCCAATAAATATTTGGCAAAGCCTTGGATTCATGTGTTTTTACGCCCGTTGGCGGTGGAAACCATGCAAGCTTTTTCTTTGGCCTAAGTTGTTAATTAAAAAAATAATAACCATAAAAAATATAGGTCCTAATAGCCTAAATTTTAGCAAAATGTATCAGCAGATCCGATGAGATCCGAGTTATTATGTTTTGGAACTTAATGATTTAATTAATTATTCCCTTTAATGCATTTACCTATCCTACGCGCCAAGAAAAAATATTGCATTTTGCAGAGTTTATGAATTAAAATTGATATATTTATATACAGTTTTGCCAAATAAATCAAGGAAATAGGGCTAAAAATAAGAAAGAAATATAACATTTTAAACTTGACCAGTTTTTTTTAATATACTTGCTACATGCTACATGTATACATATTTTTTTTGTACCGTTTCTCCGTAAAATTACGAATAATGGAGTTTTAGCACATTTCACCAACGATATACTAATAATTGTACTGAGCGTATTGACTGTGATTTTCTTACAAACGAAAATCGGCTCCCAAAACCAAGCCTTACCGACCCTTTATATACTCGTATATTATATTTTCAATATTGTAGTTTTCATTATTAACAAGAAC